ATCACTGTATTGTTATTCAGTCATTAATGATTAAAAAAAACTTGACATGGTGTGTATTATTGTCCATTGTTATTAATAAGTTATTGTGTGATAAATGTTGGATCTATATAGAATCTCAGAAGATAAGAATTTCGATTCTAATATAAATCTTTTCCCCCTACCATTAGACATAATTCAGTCAGTAATGCATTGTTTCTTTTTTTACACACAAGTTTACAATCTACAGAATATATGTAAATAATTCATGTAGCTCGCCTGGGGGAGATGTTGACTTCTAATCTTGTTAGATTGTGTGAAAACAGAGAAGCAGAGATTCATTGTGTTTTGACAGCAGACAAAGACAGATACGTGTAGATGCTCAGCTACGGAAATGCATACATTTGAGTCACATGACCACTTTAGACCCCCTTAGGGTGCTGAAGACCCCCCACAACACATGTAGAAAGAAAACTAGGCCAACATGCCGATAGGTTGTATTGTAGTCGACTTCATTTATTGCAGCTTTAAGGTCCCCAAGGATGGTGATGTTGCTCTGTTTTAAGGGATTACTCCACAGTCATGTATGGGAAAGATGACCATGTGGGCCAAGTCAGATATATGTGACTTTTGAAAAACTGAATTGTAAAGCGTTTAAAAAGTAGATACATTTTTCCTTTCTGGAAGTAGCAGGGTAAAAAGTACAAGAAGCATTCCAATAATGATTACTGCTATCCAGGTGATGCCAGAAAAGGTGTAAAAGGAAATATGGTTTTGCTAATTAACACAGCATTATGACTGTGTTTGGGAAATAACTTGTCCCTTTTTTTTTTAGTGAGAAGTCTGGTAAAATAACCACCCTCACATCAGTGCAAGTTATTGATTGGAGCCTTCATCCAGTTTCTTGGGTTCTAATTATCAACAGACACACAGACAAAGGCAAATCACTTATTCATGATTTACCTCAGCCTTCCTGTCACTCTAAGTTTACTCTGTGTGTATATTTTAGTTATTGGCCTGTACACATCATCTGTAGGCACTTGTCCTTCATGCCTGCAGGAGCTGGGGGTCGGGGACAAGAAAGGTTGTGTGTTTAGACACTGTGTGTCCCGCGGGTCAGACACACACCACAGCTGTAAATGTGTTTTTCTGCTCTGAGCCCGACAGTACCAGGAAAAAAGAGAGCTGTTGTGTTTAAGGTCTGTCTGCTGTCAAGGTCGTCCTGTCAGTCTGGGTGGAGCCGTGCACTCAGCAGAGGAGTCCCTTCAGACTGGAAGAAGCACACCAAGCTGGTGGGGGGGGGGGGGGGGGTTATAGTATTTCTTCCATGTTGTACTCATTCCACTTGGGGATATGACCATCAAGTCTACTGCTACATGTTCAAGGATATAATCCTTAGAAAACAAACGGTAGAGGACAAAAACAACAGCAGCTACACATAAGGTTTAATGTAGTTAAGGGTTTGATTTCATGTCATTACAGATTTCGTCATGCGTGACAGAACTGTTCCCCACAAAGAGTGACTGGAGAACACAGCTGATAGCCAGTGGATGGAAAAAAATGCCTGATAAAGTCTTATTTACGCTGTTGTGGTCAAATTGTTGATGTTGTCAGCTATTGAGCAATAATTAAATTTGGGCCATGCTTATATGGATTCTGGCACCGAATTACACAGTTAATACAAAGATGTTTAACTTTAGCCTATCACTGACTTGTTTGCCTCAAGTTTTTACATTCGCCTTCAGCTAACAACAAGATGTAATCATGACGTCGCCATAAAAAGGGTCTAAATATTGATTCATTTAATCTGGATGATGATTTTTCCCATAGTCGACCCACAATCAAGCATTTACAATATGTAACCATTTTGGAAACGAGGCAGACTGGCACACAAGTACTAGTGGTATAATGGTTACGTTTTATGTCACTGAAATGTTTAGGCTTGATTAAGAACAATATCTGTTCTGTCTTTGTGACTCTAAAAATAGTATGACTTTTTTGACAATGCATTACGTTTCGTTTATTGTTTTTCCAGAATATGTTTTTCTTAAAACCATCTGTATCCTATTGTAAATATTAGATATCTGGCATTCAGCATTGAAGATCTGTCAATCTGTAATGTTGCCTGGAAGAATTCTCTATACGCATTTATTTTTCTAAGCACAGTTGACAGTGTAAAATAAAAAAGAACTTGGAAAACAAGTCATACAATAAGCTGTATAATATGACATTAGCACGCAGACTCTTGTCCTCAATGTGCCTCTGCAGTGGAAAATAATAAACTACTGAAAAATGTATGAGGGTTGTGGCTTTGTAAGTCATCATTTAGATTGTGGCCTGGGGTCCGATTCTGTTTTGGAAAAAAGGTCTTGTTATTTTACAGCTTTCACAAAAATACAAAAAACGTATGACTTTGGAAAGTGGGCTTTTGGTGGTTAGAACATTGCGACCATGTCACTTTACAGAGGATAAACTAGACTGCATGTAGACTCAATAAGTACAAAGGCCATACATATGTTTTTTCTTCTAACCAGACAAACACTTCCTGGAAAGGACAATCTGGTTGAAGCATACATAACAAGCATCAAGGCCAATATTTGTACATTACAGTAAAGTATTGGATGTGTAAACTTTAAGTAAACAGTATCCTTATAAGTAGGCTTGCTTTTCTTCTTTTTTTTACCTGAAAGTTATTTAAATAATTATAAATTCCCATTAACAAAATATATGGTATTTTGTAGATCTACAGATATGCAATTCAATAAATTATTCTCATCTAAGCATTAATGCCACATAGGAGGCGCACACTAAGTGTAGAGAATGACTTAATTATTAAATACATTTTTTAAATCAAATCCCTGCTGAATTCACACTGATGTGACTCTCTCGAACTGACATGCCTTTCAACTATGATCAGATGAAAAACACAAAAAAAAGCATTTTCTTTTATACTTGACATTTTACTGATTGAAGTATGTACTTTATGTTGTCATACAGTCTATGGTGGGAACTAATGTGTTTTAGAAGCAAGTGAAGGCTAAACACTAACCAAAGCAGCTCATTTAAATGCTGGGGCCAAAACGACAGGTTACTTTGGACAGATTTACTCAGCTACTGTACTTAAATACAATTTTCAGGGACTTGTACTTTACTTGAGTATTTCAATTTTTTGAAGTTTGCTACTTTGTACTTAATCCCAACAGTAATTCTAAAGGTAAATGGTGTACTTAATTTATTTAATATATTTAGTTACTTTACAGATTTGGATTAATGATGTGAACAACAACATCATTCAATGCTAATACTTTGTACTTTTACTCGAGTATCATTTTTGAACGCAGGACTTTACTTGTAACAGAGTATTCCTACCCTCTGGTACTTCTACTTTTACTAAAGTACAAGATGAGTACTTCTTCCACCTCTGGTTCTAGTAATAATGTCTGGGCACATACAGTCTATGGCTACTTTTACACGGGAACGTTTGCGTTTATGCACAGTATGCGTTTTCAAAAAAGTCTTCCGTTCACATGCATTCGTTTCATTTAACGTGTCCCAAACAAGACCGCTGGAAACGCTGTAGTACATATATGGCACGTACCTCTGAGTTTGGCTAACATTAGCCATGTTTTACCGTGTTGTCCCGCTGTTTTCATGTTTGATAATCCTCTCAGAAAGATGTTTGATATCCAGAAAGCCATTTCTTGAACATGTATAATATAAAAATAGAAAATACACGGGAAGCAAAAAAGCATATTCTCTATCAAGCTAGCAGTTAGCCATACTGTTCCCTGAGAACCACCACCAGTTTAATCTGATTATTTTTCACAAGAGGTTTGGTTTAACACTCGACTGGTACAAAGTTGTTTTATCTTGAAATTATCCTCAAAAGGCACAATTAAGGCACAGTTAACTTGTGTAATGTTGAAGATATACACATTTTTCACGGTGAGTCTCCTGCAGTAACTTTATTTTTTAAAATAACTAGTAAAGGCTGACTGCAGTAGTCTTCAGCCAATGACAACGAGAGTTGACCTTTGGAAAACAGCCAATCAGATTGCAGCTGGTCGACAGGTGATTAGCCACACCTGGCATAACATATGTGCCATTCTTTTTTATGTTAATCGTCATTTCATAATGCTCCCACACTGTTGAAACTCGACTTTGTGAGTAAATTAAAACATTACAAAAAGGTCCAATCAGTATAATGACAATAGAGGTATTTTGAATGTAATGAATACATATAGTTGGAAGTTATTGAGTGATTACCACTAAACCCTATTTAGTTTGCTGCCAGCAGGTGGGGCCATGCTCCTGCCCCTCATCCGGGTCCCCGGCAGTAACATGAGTTGCAGGATGGTACAGCCTCACAGTTGTTCCTAAATAGCTTTCCTTTCATTGTCAGCTATTTTATAATGTCCATTTCAAATAGAGGGTGTGAAATATATTCTTCAAAACGCCATACAATGAGGCAGATGCTTGTTTTATTTATTCCAATGCATGGCTTGTTAATGATGTACATTGCCCTTTTTGGTCCATGAGGTACCCCATGTTAAGTATTTTAATCTAGTGACAAATAGGCAGTTCAGTCTCATTACAGTCTACATAAAATAAAATATAGCATTGTTTAATTTATCTTGAAGAAAGACATGAGCTGCATTATGGCAGTTAACTGTCTGTTTGAAGTAGTAGTAATAATATAAATATCCATAATAATCAAAGTAGTAATAATTGTTTATCCATAGTAACATTTAGTTTTGCCATAATTATCGACCTACAGAAGCCTCTGGGATACAGCTGCTGTTTACATGAGTAACTGGTGGGAAAGAGAGGGAGAGTGAGCCCTCTGGAGGACAAACCATCTTTTATTTGTAAAAGAAATAAAAAAAAAACAGGCCTGAGTCTTTCATAGCAGTGCTGCTTATCCTTGCCTGTCCTTGTTTTCTAAACCCTTATTTTTTTCTCAAATACAGATGAAAGGATGAATAGCATTACAAAAATTAAATAAAGAGCCAAACACAATTGTAATCATTGCACACATATATTTATGAAAAAGCATTTAACAGTAGACAAAGGCTGTTTTTGTATAACATATATTATGATATATAGATACTATAACTACTAGGTTTACGTGGATTACATGAACTGAATAGAATGGTTTTTTTTCTTTACTTTTTTTTTTACGAATAACAGAAATATGGCAAGGCACATGTTAGCATAGAAACATCAACACCGCTGTGAAGAAAACATTTGGCTCCAGGTTTTTCATAGTGGCTACAGTCATGACATGTCTGTATCAAAGTCCAATATCCAAGGCTGTCCTTATCGCCTCCAGTCTGCTTCACACTGAGATCCTATACTTTTTCAACACGTACAAAATGAGAAGCAAAAAGGGACACAGGCGAGAAGGCCATATTATAATGTGTCCAATCATTTTTAAGCGCTGTACTGAAAGGTTTCCAAAAGAACATACACAATTGTTTCTTAAGGAAAGGTCAAATACTGAGTGAGTTCCCACGGTGCAGCAGGAATACGGTAAAGCTGCCATGTTAATGCTGTTTGCGCTCAGGTTAATCCAAACCATTCATGCCGTTTATTGTAGTGTGGATATTACAAACACCTGGTGAGAAGCAGATACAAATGGAGCCAACACGAAGAGGCCAAACAGGAAACAGACAAAGCAAAAGTGTATATGATCTGAACGCATTGTTGGACCAGTTTGAATCTCAAAGTCTCAACACTAAATCCTCCGCTCATCAGTGAAAGAAATCTTACCATCTCTATAGAGATAGGTCAAGCTAAGTATGTTCCCTTCTTTCCATTGTATAGGATGTTTTTGTTTAATGGAAAATGGACCAACAAATTCCTCAGAGCCTTGAAATGCACAATGCAGGATCAATCATTTCATTTACAGTAAGGATACTGTATCTCCTATATGGACATGGCTTCCCTTAAATTAGTGCAGCTCTACAGGTTCGCCTTAGGAAAACAAAACGGAACATATTATTTAAGATGCTTTATACAACAAGGCACAGATATATTTAATGTATATGAAGATATTTTAAGCTGCCGATCCGGCATGAAGGCACAAGAAAGTGTATATGGTCATGCTGATTGCTATATAAATTAATGTTTGGGTTGAAGCAAGATATATTTTAGGGTGTTCCCATGTAGGACCACGGAATATTGGAGAATGGAAAAGAGTATTTTTGTGTGAGGGATGCAGGTGGAATGGGCTGATCTATTTAAAGGCGTCCATCAATGACTTGTTTAATTCAGGCGATCCTCAATACTGCATCAAGTCAGTTGATTGCATTGTGTTTATCAGCCGTTTGCACTTGTAGAAGTTTAGAAAATACATTAAATAAAGTGCACACCTCTGAGGGATGTAAATGAATAAGTCAGGCTGAGTCTCCACAAGTTAAAGTCATATATTACCTGAAACTACAATATTTCTTTCTTGCAATCACTGAGCATTTTGTTGAGATCAGTGCATAAAAGTTAGGGGGAATGTGGTGTTGATGGACTGATTTATTGAAGCTCAGGACTTGCAGTTTACTTTTAGTCCAATTGCTGTGAGTAAGATGCTTCTTAAAATAACCCACAAGTATAGGTTTAGTTAGCAGCAGTGCATTCAAATCAACTCAACTGCAGCTATGCTTATTAAAATATGTCACTGAAATGGAAATAAAACAACACATGAGAATATTTGCATTGCTCACAGTAGTTAGCAATTGTTCTTGATTTCTCTGCTTTTTTCTGCTGTGTTTACTGTTGCTCTTACATTTTGGGATTTGAGATATGTATGCATCCCTAACTGACAGGCGTTATCCAGAAAAGCACATTTATACTGCACAGATTATCACAGATATCACATGCCGAGTATGTATATGAGAGATTGTTGTGAGCCAAAGCGGATCTCTTGGTGAAACAAATACTACTAATATAGTTACAGATTGTATTATACATTTACAATAACCACATTTAAGGGTTTCATTTAAAATACACAGATTATTTCATCTGTAATCATATTCATTTGAAGGTACAGCTGTGCTTTCAGGTAGGTCACTTTCAGCGATTCTGTACACTGATTACTACAAAGACAGTATGTTCAGTTTTTTTGTGTTTTGTAGGTATTTATACTTGGGAGATAATGGATGTCCCTGGCCTGGCTTCCCTTATAAAAACCTATTTCTTTGGCTCTTTGGATTTTCTTGACCAGCTGGCTCAAGCTCCATCCCGGTAAACGCACATCGGCTTTATACTTCATTATTACTATAGTGTATCTTCACTAAAAACTGAAAGCCAAACATTTAAACATCACAGACTGGACAACATATAAATGATACAAAGTTATATAAAACATATGGCAATATGGGTAAGCATGAGAGTCTGTGGATAAGCACTGATACAGGCGAACTATATACTGAGATTTGTCCCTCTCCGGGGTTTTCTTTCGCTACAGAAGTAACACGATGGCTGACTTCACTCTGTCAGGTACATGGCTACGTCACGGGAAGGAGTGGCAAACATCCCATTGAGTTCAGCGGAGACTCTCTCATCCTGCGGGATCAAGCAGAGAGAGCACACATGGTGAGTTTACGAAAACAAAGTTATTTCAAAATGTTGTATCAAGGAAGTACATCTATCTTTCTAAAGTAGTTATTTCTCTATTGTTTTTGCAAAGAAACAAGCAAAAATCAGGAAAATCTGAAAGCAGCTGTTTTTCTTTCTCAACTTAATAATATTAAATATGTGCCGGAATAATTGGCCAAATACCCAACTAAAGAGCCAATGACAGAACATTTAAATGTTATTATTCTTATATTAAAAAATGACAAAACAAATTGGATTCCTGCTTCTTTAATAAGGAGAATCTTCTTTGTTGTATATCATGAAACGTGTAACTTTGGGTGACAATAGAAGGAACTTGAATGCGTCACATTTGGGTCTAGGAAGCTTCAAATAGTCTTACATTGTATAGGATAAACAATTATTCGGTTTAATTGTGGTATGGATGCATACATGAAGTCTCAGTACTATCTTTATATTTGAATGTTACTACTTGTGGATCTGTTGCTATGTGCATGTTCTGTTGCTGTGTTGCTATGTGTATTTCTGTTGTGTACAAGCTGTAAACAAATATCCTCTTGGGATCATAAATCTAAAATGGCCTGACAATAATCATTTTTCATTGATTTCTCCATTTCTGATCTTGTGGGGTGAGATGACTGTTTACCTGTGTGTGTCTGTGGCATTCCAGGTAGTGAGGAATGTTGAGTGTGTGGTCTGAGGAGGGCATGATGGGGGGGGCCGTCAGAGGACTGATGTCAGCGTTCTCCTGGTTGATGGCGGACGATCCCACCACCGGCTCGCTGTGGCTCCACTGGAAGTAGCAGGACCCTTGAGGAGGACTCTGATCCAGGGACGGGTCGGCCCCCCTCAGGCCTGAAGTGCCAGGGAAAGCCCGGACGTCGCTTCCTGCTGGCCCGGAAGAAAAGTGCTGTTCGAACATGCAGCTAATGTGAGTGGCTGCCTGACCGCACGTCAGCCCGTTCTGCTGAGCGTGGTTCAGTCCGGGGACGCTCCGTGGCCAGAGGCCGGCACGCGGGAATGTTTGGCTTTCCTTAAGTTGGCTGTTGCACACTGGCATCAGTTTGTGTCCGTTCTGCATGATGCCAGAGTCAGGAAGCTTCTGCTGGCTCTGAGGCCACGGCTGCACCTGGGGGCTGTGCGTCTCAAAAGGGCCCCTTCCTTGCAGGGGATTTGTGGCAAAGGGAACAGGTATATTAGGCGTGTTAGCGGAAATAAAGTTAATGCAAGGAATCAGGGGTGGCAAAATGTCTATTACACCTGCGGCCACGTGGTTTGGTTGTTGAACAAAGCTCTGCAGTAACTGTCCGTTCGCTGCCATTGCAGGAGCTTGCACATTGTTTTGAGGACGCAGCAGGAACTGGCTGGACTGCGTCTGTGCAGAAATCCCACGAGTGCCGCCCATGTGGTTGTTAGATACCTGCCCGCAGGATTGAAACGGGGCTGAGGCTACACCAGCGATGTGGTTGGGGACAGTGAGCTCCGGGAGCTCTATAGACGGGCTGAAAATGTCCTGGAGCTGCAGCTGCTGAAGAGGGAGCAGGTTGGTGTCGGCCTGAGAGATCAGGGGACCGTTGTGAGAGAGTTTCTGGGTGCTGCTGAATATCTGAGCAGACTCTGCGATCCCTGGGCCATTCATTGATTCCTGCTGGTGAGCGTAGAGTCCATTCATCGGAGAGTAATTCAGTTCAGGGCTCATGGTCTGAAACAACTGCTGCTCCCCGAGTGCAGTGGCTGACAGCTGGGCAGTGAAGCGGTTCTGCTGGTTGTTGTTGGCCGCTGTCAGGCAGCTGGGCGGGCTGGTGCTCAGATCTTTCTCCTTCTCTTTGAACAAAACATTATCAATGTAGTCAAAAATGTCATTAGTGAGGATGGTGTCCAGGTCGGATTTGACGTTGTTTCGCTGATCATCGTCCTGACCTAATCTCTTGAGGGCATTTTCCCAGTCCATCAGCTCTGAATCACCCACCTCCAGGTCCTGCAGCGCTGCACAGAAGTCCCCGTCGTGACTCAACTTCTCCAGGTTGCCAATGACGGCCATCACCGACCGCTTGGCTTCCTCTTTCACTACCACAGGCTCCGTTGTGCCCGTAGCTCCACTCTCCTGCCACGCCTTACCCACGCTGATCAGGGCCTCGCTGTCCATGAACACCTGATCCACAGGAAACTGGCTTTCCAATGCTGGCATGTAGGCCGTCTCATCCTGCTTCAGGAAGCAGTCCACCAGCGATCCGGGGAGCACATCCTGGCTCATGTCGCTGGTGCTGCTGAACTTTTTGTCGAACTGATACTGTGCGAGGTCCACCGTTGGGCCGGTGTTGTAGAGGACGCCCTCTCCTGTGGTGCAGCTGAAGGGAAGCTGCATGCTCCTCTGACGCAGATACTCCTCCCCCTCGGCGTTGCTGAAACACACCAAATAGCAAATGTTACATTACTGCCACCAGGATAGGAGTCTTATTAAGGGGATTGATTGAGCAAATGTTTTCTGCTGATGAAGTGCCCTATAGTAACATCTTTATTATCAACCCATGAAGCCACTGTTGTTAAAGGATCAAAAACTCACACTAAAGCTCTCTGGTCTGCGATGATGAAATCCGGTCTTCCATTTTTGAAGATCAGCTTGGCGTTGGATTTCACCCACACCCAGCCACTGCACTTACTGAGGAGCCTGAAGACAGTCAGACCGGTCTCCCCCGTTTTAATCACTGTGAGATAAAGAAAAAAACAACAACCGGGTTATCGGTAAGGTGGCCATGTATGTGTCTGCGTACATATGGTTTTTTTCACGCCGTAAATCTGTCTACGTGGAAAGCTTGAAAGGTTATTGAAAACCTAAAGATTACTTTTTGTGCGGCAAGAATTGGCATGAAAAAACGTCATGTTCATTTGGGCAGTAGTCCAAATATTTGTAAGGTTTACACACATATACACATGCTGTAAAACAATGTCTGAAAATAATATATATATGAATGTGAACATTTAATCTGGTTAATATATAAAAAGATAGCAAAAGTGATTGAAACAATGTGGTTTTAAAATTCAATACTTTTGGTTTAGTCTTTTTAATATTGTAATGGAGAAAAGTGACATACTGCGGACGTGGTTGTTGGCGCAGTGCATCATGTCAGCAGCGTGGATGAATTGGTAGCCGGAGCCTTTCATACACAGTTCAGTCTCTGTATAACCCAGAATAATCTTCCCCCTGGAGAGAGACAGAAGAAAAACATTACGTTTGTTAAACTGGAAGATACTTGGAAGAAAGTGTTCACCCATTAGCTTGTCAAGATAATAAATCAGAGAAAGGAAGAATTTGTTCTACCTGCTATCAACGCCCAATGGTGTGAAGTCCAGCTTGTGTTTGGTTTGAAAGAGGAGCATTTTAGATCTGATCTCCACGATGGTTGGAGGCTGGACGGGCATGGCGATGGAGAAGAGAGCCAGCTGAGGTTTGTTACCGTTCCCGTTGTCCCTCAGCAGCCTCTGGCCGTGGAGGTACTTCAGTCGCCCCTGGAACTTTAGAGCCTGGTATGGGTGAAAGAAAATCAGATGAGTAAGTCAGATCGAAAAACAGGTCAACAAGATATAATGGATAAATGGACCTCTATACTTAAACTGGTTAATTCAACTTGTCTATGTGCGCGTCACTGCTTAATTCAGTTCAAAGTGGTACAGTAGAGCTCATATTTCAAAAAGTAATTATTTCTAAATAAGAAGATTTTTTATTTGAACAAGATATACTGTAAAGGTTGATGTGTTTCCTGTAGGGCAGGGGTGTCCAAACTACGGCCCGCGGACCATTTTGAATCGGCCCTCAGCTAATTCAAAATGTATAATGACTTAAATATAATAAACTTCTGCTCGTCTTATATTGTACTTCTTAACTATAAATGTAAAAATATATTACACAGTAGTATTCATGCGTTAATAAGACCACTTTTCAAATAAATTCAGTCAATTAAAGTTGAAAACATGTTCTAACTAATCTAAGTTGATAATAAAAAAGCCCAATAACAAATTCACATAACAACCTTGAAATATACCCTTCATATTTCCTCTTCTTATAAACAATCTGAAGCTTCTGTTTTAAGGAATGAGCTGCTAACACAATAAATGAAACCCTCTGGAGAGCTGTGAGCTGTTTTTTTTCTTAAAGCATTTTCAAGTACCAAGCATAATTTACTTATATTGGATTGACTTTTCCAACTTATAACAGAACTTATGAGGCAAAATACCTCGCCTCTAGTGAGTGGCCCAGCCCTTCGTATATTTTTCTGTACAGTATGTGGCCCTCGGTGAAAAACGTTTGGACACCCCTGCTGTAGGGGCTTCTGAGATGTTGTTTAAGAGTGTCTTTTATTGAATTCAAACAAACGTAAACAAAACCACATTACATCACATTTTTCTGACAATTTAACTTGCTTTTCACATTTGTTGTACAAACCAGAAATCCGGAGGAGTTGTCCAGCAGGCAGCGGAAGCGACACACGAAGCTCCTCTCCAGGAAGGACGAGTTCTCTGGAGGAAGCTGATCAGGGTTGTACATCACCGTACTCCCAGAGGTCTTCATGACTGAGCACACGGGTAGAGATCACACATCAGAATCATTTACCCCAAACATTAATTAAGTCATGGCATAACAGGCCATAAGACTGTTGAACACCTGAACTAAGAACATCCATAACATTCCCCTGTTTGTAACTTACACATTATGTATCACTTGTATATAGACTCTTATGGCACTACTTATATTCGATTTGATTGTATTTACTTGCACTAGTTTATCTGTTTTATTGTGTTGCACTGTTGGAGGAGCCTGTGACCTAAGATTTTCATCGACATAACTACACTGTAGCCAGAGATACTCGTTACTTTACTCGTTACTTTACTCGTTACTTTACTCGCAGGGCCAGCCCGCCCCTCCCTACAGGCAGATCACGCAGACTGCTAAAGTTTCAAATGTTCTCTTTAGTTCAGTTTCCATTGTCGCATAAGACTGATCCAGATAGCTCTGACTATGGCTGTCCTCTATCTCCTGCTATCTGTATTTTGCGCAGTATATCTCTGAACGATGCGATGGTGATTCCACTGTGCAAATGGGCAACATTACCTCTACTATGAAGGATGCTACAAGCCTGTCCATCTCTGCTTTGGTTACCGGTCCTCCAAATTCTAATTTGTGCTGCTTCGGAGTCGGCGGCGGCGCACTCACAACATCCTCACTCTGGGTTCGGGGGTCCTTAGCTATTAGCTTCACCTTAGCATGTGTTCTTTGCAGGTGTTTGTTGAGGTTTGACGTGGTGTTTGCAGCAGTGGATAACAGCTTCTGGCCTGGACACAGTTTGCACCTCACCGTCACATTCCTGTCTATTCTTCGGACGAACTCAAAATAATGGGCATACCTCCACCCCTCGAAAGTTATCGCTGACTCAGCCATGTTTATGCAGCACTGCACGTGGAGATGTGGACGCGCAAGTCGCGCAGATTACGTACATATAAACCTGCGGCGGAAACCCCTCTTGTCTGTCAGTGTGATTATGACTGATTTTATAAAAGTAACAAAGTAACGCGTGTCGGGGCAATGTTAGTAACTGTAGTGTGATTACTGAATTATAAAAGTAATGCGTTACACTACTCCGTTACCGACAAAAGTAATTTTATTACAGTAACACCCAACTCTGACTGTAGCTATGTACGAATTACAATAAAAGCCTTGAATCTTGAATCTGAATCTTGAATGAGAGTGAGCTAAACAAGAATCATTCACAGTTCTTACCATCTCCTCCCGCTGCAGCAGTGGGGGGGTTCAGGGCAAAGTGGAGCTGCTGTCTGAACAAGGACCGGTCGTCAGTGTGAATGAGCTCATACACACTCTGATGGACCACATCCGACTGAGGAGAGGAGACGCAACACTTCATCAGCAACTCATGTCATTTACACCTATTAGGGATCTACTTCCTGTGAAAGAGTTCTCATATATTTAGCCTTTCTTTTCTTGCTTGACCACAAGTGTTTACAACATGCTGAAATGACTGCTTTATGGTTTGGTCTATTCAGCACACAATGGGTCAATAGATGGTTTGGTGAATAGTTCATAGAGATTAAATATGGATAGGAGTTTTTTGGATCCAATTGTTAGACAGCTCTTTACACCACCATTTCAATGTGTCACCCCTCTCTTAAATGTAACTTACAAACTTCAAATAGGCCAACATTTTACCTCTACAAGGGCTGCCTTTTGAACACTCCTACACCTTCATGAACATCAAATTGAAGGACTTTTTAGGCCCAATTTCCTTCCACAGCCAGCAACCAAAACGGCATATTTGAACACATGGATTACTGTTAAAATACTGCCTTTCAGTGATGGAGACATAGACCTCTTAACAAGTTGAATAGCAAAGTAAAACCACATCTATTTCATTTCTTAAACAATATATATACATTCTTATAATTTCATTAACACATGTCTATTAATGGCTGTTTCTTAAATCTGTTAAGGCCTTGATTTTTTCACCTCTCGAATGTACACACTTTCAAGGACTTTAACTGTGGGAACCAACAATGCTACAAATAAATAATGTTTATAAAATGATTAAGACAGCATCTCACCTCATGAAAGCCCAGGTAGTCCTTAATTGTGGAGGAAACATAAAACACGGATCCGTCTGACGTGACCACGATCACAAACCCGTTCAGCGCCTGCACAAAATAAAAGACAGTCAGGTTAGCTTTGAAGTGATATTGGGGTTGGGTTTTTAAAAAACTTTGCATCACAAGCCATCATGTTTGATTATATTTCATAGATGACAGACACTCTACAGCTGATCTTCAACACTCTGCAGATCAAAATATATCAATCTAGTTGGGTATATGTCAGTTAGTTCAGGGTAGAGGAAAACAATATTTTTGATTTTGATTGTTGGGTAAACTGTCCATATACTAGGGCTGTGCAATTAATCGTATTTTAATCTCGATTACGATTTTGGCTTGCAACGATTACGAAAACAATGTAATCGAAATAAAACGATTATTATTTTTATTAAAAAAAAAATTTTTAAATGTAATTTTTTTTTTTTTTTTTTTTTTTTTCCTGTTGAATTACACTTAAAGTTCAGGGTAATCAACTGTTAAAAACATACTGTTCCAATTTTTTTTTCAATATATGGATGTTTTCAAAGTAAATGGATAATCGTTTTTAATAATCGTGATATCAATTATTGACCAAAATAATCGTGATTATGATTTTTGCCATAATCGCACAGCCCTACCATATACAGTAAATTGTAGTGTTTGCTGTTACTATAGGGAAGTTCAGCTAGTTTACAGTAAACATGCTCCTCAGGGCACGGCTCAGAATATGCTCAACTTCGAAGAAGAATAACAGATTTGAATCAAACTCGGTTTTTATAAATTTAACTTTAGTTTCTACACAGTCCAAAAAAATATACAGATTATCTCCCAATGTAACATAATTAAAAATGTTTCCAATTTCAATCTGAAATCCTGCCGCCTGTTTTGAATCTAGAATAACACCGACAGCTGCCGTTCTCAAAGGCCCTTTGTTTTTACACACAATCACTGCCTGTTGCGATCCTTCTGCAGGACGACGTGTGAAAATGTCCCTGACAGGTGAGCGTCAATAAACGAGGCGCAGGGCACTTTAAACAAAGCACCGGTTTTGTGAAGCTCCACAGAGCGTGGCCGAGCTTTGGCAAGAGGCAGGAAGACGAGCAGCTCACCTGTCAAAACGTCCTCCTCCATGGAGAGACCTGGATTACTTCCACACAGAGCCACCAGCTCACAAATAAACAAAGTGGAACAGCATGTATGCACCTGCTGGCCTCAGGCTGTGGGACTTGTTTCTCTATGTACAGCAGTGACACTTAATAAACTACGTATTTAAACTGCTGTTGATTGATTGTGTGAGAGTTTGTGTAGCGATGCTTTCAGACTGACACAGATTGGTTGGCAGTGGAACAGAGTGGGTAAAAGCACGTCATCTTACAAAGCTTCAAGACTGTGCTCTTCCTCACCTCATTTTAATTTGGTTAGCTTCAGGTGTTTCTGGCAGGAATTAGGAATTTCCCTATTGCATTTTACATTCATTTGACTTTTAGTTTGCTATATAGTTGCTATAGGGCAAACACATGAAGAGAAAAAGAGGGACACAAGTAGCTGGTAAAGCATCTTAGAGACTCGGCTATATATTGTTTTCATCATACTAGACTTGATATCATATAAGATTTTGAATATCGTAATTTAAATATAATAATATAATAATAATAACGTAATATTGATATATGGCATGGTTGTTGTTTTCTCTTGGTTTTAAAGGCTGATTTTTTCTCAACTTTCCAGGCTATTATACCTGTTCTATAGTTTTGCATTTAACCACCAAGTCATTATATTCACATTAATAATGATTATTTAGCAGCAAACTCATATATGTTAATATTTTGTGAAAGCACAGAATATATATATAAAATATTGTTTCAATATGGATATCAAGGTGTTTGATCAAATATATTGTGATTTTTGATATACAGTATTGCCCACCCCCAATAACCAAACCAACAAGTTTTATGATAAATAATAAGCCTATGTCTAATATTAACTTTGAATCTGAACGAGGATGTGAAGTTGGTTCTTACCTGGAGCAGCAGTTCCCCCTCGGAGAAGCTGCAGACGTCCATGCTGTTCCCATTCTGCCCGTTGACTCCAGGAAACGTCAGACTGTTGTTGCAGTTGTTGTTGTTGCTGCTCTTTATGCTCGCTGCACAGAGGAGACAAACATAGAAGAGGTCAGCAAAGGGAAATTCACATATTGCATTTTCAGCAAGGTTACTTGTTATATAGGGTTATGGTCATGTGATCAGGATTCAAATGGGGGAAAGGATTGGGTTGACGAAAAGGAAAAAACGTGAAATGTTTATATTTTTGCCGACTTTTATCTGTCATTCTGCATTTGTCTTTATTTTTCAAAGACAAACAGTCATTGCTGAGATCTGAGAACAAACCAACATCACTGGAATTGAGAATAATTCACATTGAACTACAGTAGGTCAGGGTTGGACCAGGGATAAGCTGTGCAAAGTCAATTGTAGGATTGCCTTTCACTTGGTTTTAATAATTTGGTTAAATGGGTCCGTCTGTCTTTTTGTATCGCTGCTAGGGCTGCTCGATTATGGCAAAAATCATAATCTCGATTATTTGGGTCAATAATTGATATCACGATTATTAAAAACGATTATCCATTTACTTTGAAAACATCCATTTATTGATGTGAACAGTATGTTTTTAACAGTTGATTACCCTGAACATTAAAGGTGGGGTTAGGGTTAGGGTTAGGGTTAGGGTTAGGGTTAGGGTTAGGGTTAGAGCCCCTCCTCCAACACACACGAACGCGCACATGACCAATGAGGGCACGAGATAAGTTTGTGCACAGATGGAAGGCTGACAGGCAGGTAGGCCATCCAGTTATTTTAGCCGGGCCGGCTCAGATGATTGGTCGTGCTTTTTACAGTACTACAGCTTCCACAGATGAATTTTTTTATGGATTTTTTGTCAAAGCACTTAAGATATTCATTGCTATCGGGATGTTAAGAGCATTCCATGGAATATAACAAAAAGTGTATCTCGAGCCGGTTTCTCAAACTTACCTACCCTACCTTTAAGTATAATTCAACAAAAAAAAATAAAAAATAAAATAAATAATCGTTTTATTTCGATTATGTTGTTTTCATAATTGTTGCAAGCCAAAATCGTAATTGCGATTAAAATACGATGAATTGAGCAGCCCTAATCGCTGCCCTACTGGACGTCTTTCCCACCACCGACCCTTACTTATTAAAATGTCTTCCCTAAATGATCCTCCTCCTTAAAACACCAATAACACGAGTGACTCATGTTCAATTTAACTAAAAAGCATTAGAATATTATTTTTCCAAAGTCTGTTTATTTTCAGGAAAGTTTGAGAAAGACCAGTTCTTAAATCTGCAGTTTGTATTAACTTTATTGTATTATCAAAATTCTCTTGACAAAATGTCAAATCTGACGGTGAGCAGGCCACTGCAGTTAATTTCTTCAACACTATTAAAAACAGCTGCTTCAAAGAGATTTTAATAAAGCAACATTTTTTTTCCTTCTCTACTTTAAATCTGTCTTTTCTTAGAGCTGCTTCATATCATTCATCACTGCCTTTAATAAAGTAGATATAATCATAATCATATTCACGTAGGGAAATAATGATGTCTTAAATGTGGCTTTAATGCAATTCCACAAAATATAACTAACATATTAAGGCATTAAATACTGCAGCAGGGTTAGGAGATTTAATTTGAAACACGAAATCACAAACACAGGCATGTTTGTTGTAATAATTGGTAGTGTTCTAATCTCTGGGTTTAAGTGTATATACAGCGCAGAGCAGAGGAACACATAATGGCTCTTTCATATAGTTTTAGAATCACATGGCAGCAGCATCACATTTAGCATATTGCCTGGAGACATGTTTGTAGTCTCTGTTCCAGATTGATTACTCCTTTGGATATAAAAAGTCTATCTGATGACTGAGAACATGACTCACTTCATATGCCTCGGCATGTCTGAGGCTGAGATCGGAAAAACAGGTTTGTTCTCTAAGGCTATAGATACACACTCCTCTGTTAGCACAATGCTGCCACTCAAACGGTTTGTCCACCAATCACATGTGTAACAAGCCAGCCCAGTGATCCCCACTTTCACCTGGACCACTTTAGAGGTCCTGCGACTTAGAACATTTAACGTAACAGGCACCACTTGCATTCATTTGAGCCGCCGGGCGTTTAAAACATCAGCCGAAGAACAAAGTCAGTTTACACAACCATTTCCCGGTATGAGATTACGAAAAAAAACTTGGCAATGTTCCCCTTTTTTTTTTTATGAGGAAACCTTTGGGTATCTTTGTTGCAAGCACCTAAACTCCCAGTGTAGGCAGAGGTTGCCTCACTGTTAATAATACTCAGGTTGTGCTTGGCATGTCCAAATCCAATGACAGGCTGCACAAAGTACAACAATGACTCAGCTGCTCTGTTTGTGTTGGCTTTGCCTTGGCATCTTGGTAAAGTTACTGAGCCCCTCGCTGAAAGCTCCTCACTGCTCAGCATTGTTCTCTGTGCAGCCACATCGTGTCACATCATGTTTAGATTCAAACGTGCAAGGTTTAAAAGCCTGGATGAGGTGCAAAATTGTGCAAATAGAAGTATAAGGTAGCTCTGGCTAACAAACAACATGAACTATTTCACTGTGGAGGCACTAAAGTTCATGTACTTAGTTACATTTAAAACTAGCAATAATAAGTTTGTACAACTCAGATTTATCCTGTTGTTATGATGTTTCTGTAATACATCCACAATAAATGGATATAGAATAGAGTTCCTTTTGCTCTGTGATGCTTCTTGCACTACTTCCATGTCGTGGTGTAAAGTAACTAAGTACATTTACTTAAGTATATTTTTGACATAATTTGACTTTAATTGAGTATTTCCTTTTATACTCTTATTCCAATATGTACTGCAATATTGTACTTTTTACCCCACTACATTTATTTAACTTACTAGCTACGTTTTATATATAAAAACACACAATATTCTTATATGATATGATGCAGTTCTTCACTACTTATCGTATATTATAGTACAATAGTCTTTGAAATTGACTCAAGATTCAAATGCTTTTAAATGTAATAAAAACGGAAAAATATAATATTCTTTGGTAATAAAATACTTTTGCATATTTGGTACATTTATTGTTGATACTAGAAGTATATTCGCATGCTAATACTTTTACACTTTTACTCTTGTGAAGTCAGGATGTTTACGCATAATGGAGTATTTTAAGTCCATAGTATTTTTACTTTTACTAAAGTACAGAAAGGAGTACTTTATCCACCTCTGCTTCCACGTAACCACACTAGGGCTGTCCTCTTTTTTCTTTAATCAATTAGTAATCAATTAAATGGTTTTTAGACAGTTAATTCCCAAAATAAACTTCTGAGCACAAAAGATTTAGAGTTTGTATGATTCTTTGTGGATAAAGAAAATCTATCAATGGTCAACAAGTTGTGTGGGTCGATAAATAATTGAATCGATGAACACAATTGTACCAAAGCTGAACAAGCAAGGCAAGCTATCCTGCTTTAGCAGAGCTTTAAGTGTTGGTTCCCCGCCAGAAGACAGGTTTTCTCATTGCTACAGAACTGATCTGGCAGCCTGCATATCTGCACACACATAACACACACACACAGACATAACACACACAAACACACTCGCTCTCGCATCTGACCCTGGGTTTTTTTTTGTAAGCAATAGCCGACAAGAGCGCTTCCCTTATCTGGACGGCCACTACAGGAAAATCCCAGGATATAGCCTCTCCCAACCCGTCCTTCCAGTCCTGTCACGCAACTTTTAAGGAGGGAAGAGGCCCCTGAACACTCCCCCTCACACACTCACACACAGACACTCCCCACCCTTCAGCTAGAACTCACACAGTGTTTACACACACACTCCGACCTGCACAGCCTGACAATCACACAGCGAGCTGCAGGCCTCACACACACAGGGGCCATGTACCGTCAGCATCAAATGTTACATGTGTGCGAGTACATCTACCCGAGTACTGTACTTAAATACAAGTTTGAGAGACTTGTACTTTACTTGAGCATTTCAATTGTGTGCTATTTTGTACTTATACCCCACTACAATTCAGAGATATCTTGTACTTTTACTCCACTAATAATAATAATAACTTTAATTTATATAGCGCCTTTCATCAACCCAAGATCGCTTAACAAAGAAACATATAAGGACAAGACATAAAACAGGGGGCAGAAATGGAAGTGTTACATTGCAGGGGGGGAAGAGTGAGTTAATGTTGGAAGGCTTTGTTGACACTACATCTATTTAATACCTTTAGTTACTTTGCAGATTTGTTTAATGATGTCACATATAAACCACACTTAAATAAGACTTTAGTTCCACCTGGAGTAATTTCACAAGCTACCCTGCAGCATACAGCATACTTAGGTTAGCTTCACCTTTGCTTTGATAACACTTTAATGCATCAATCATTATAATCAAAACATATCATATATATTATTCTGAAATGAGTACTTTTTGGTACTTTAAGTATATTTTGATGCTAATACTTCTGTGCTTTTAGTTGAGTAACCTATTGATTGCAGGACTTTTACTTATAACAGAGTATTTTTACACTCTGGTACTTCTACTTTTACTTAAGTACAAGATCTAAGTACTTCTCCCACCTATGAGTGCAGCCAGTTCGGAGAGAAAACCACCATATTAGAAATAAACACACGTGCACACATTCAGAAGTCCAACACACACAGGCAGAAGTAAACCATGCCACTTCAAGTCGGATTTTTCTTTCCTCTATTCAGGGTTTGCATGAGTAAGTGGGCCTCTTTGTGGTGAACTCTGCATCGTGTTCTCCCTCCCCGTCTTTTTCCACTGCTAACAGCTCAACAGTTTATGCGCTTACAGTTCTCCATGCGGCTGCAGGAAAAAATATGTTTAATGATACTTGTCCAGAGCTTGACCAGAAGTTGGAAAGACATTCCTGTAAGTTCGTGGGAGTCGGCAAAGGAAGAAAAAAGCTAACATTAAACATACCTCCACACAGCAGGAAAGGGGTGTTGTTTGTGTATGACCAACACATTGTTGCAAAAATGATTCTTTATATACTTTGAAGGAAATCATTTGATGGTATCTGATGGTG